GACGGTCCGACTCTATTTAATTGGATGAACATTTTTTTTGTTTTATGCTTTACCCAGAATATAAAAATACACATTTAGATAATTTACTGTAATCATTACTATTGGACTGTGAAGAGACTTTCAACCAGCACAACAACAAATGTTTCTGAAGACAATCACCTACTGCACCTTTAAGCGATGTGTAAGTGTTAAGGGTGCACAACTAACGCGCTCTGTGCTGGACTTTAGACCTGCTTTCAGCTGGTCAATTGCGCAGTCTATTTTAGTTTTTCAATATATCAACCCGTCAACAATGTGCCTTAACACACCTTCAATCTAGACCGGAACACCCATGAGTCCACAAAGTGGCGCATATGGATTTGCTATTAAAACAATGTGGCGCAAAACAGGAAAATTAGGGTTGCGCTGGTCAGAAAATAGCAACAAATCGACAACACATCTTGTGCCTTATTGCACTGGGAGTATGATAGGGCTCTACATATTTGGACCTTGACACAGTTTTTTAGTCTGAATTAAAATTAATTAAAATACTTGTTTATTTTGTTTCATTTATTACTGCCTATGTGTCAAATACAGCTAGTCTTGAGAAGGAGAGAACAGTGTATATGGCAGTCAGGAGGTCAAAGTGACTTCATAAACTCCTGTCTGTTTAATGCAGACGTCACACAGATAAGCCGGAGAACAGAGACGCCGTAGAGACGGGTTTGTTTGTGTGTGAAGATTAAGGGAAAGGATAACACACGGATTGTTTAGTTGCATGTCAAAGACGTTGATGTCTTCAAAGGAAAAATGCATTGGGGAGTTTATTTAGAAGGATATTTGTTGTGCTGAAGATATCAATATCATGAAGACTTGACTAGGAATTTGGGACATATTTAACATTGCATGCGTATTTAGAGGATTAATTGCATAATGTATTGGAATAAAATATGTGGGGAATAATAATTCAGGAAGTTAGATTCAATCAAGACTGTAAAGTTGAGAGGAGTAGATGGCAATTTTTTAGGGAGTTTTCAATAGTCCCTTATTACCAAGATTAAAACAGTAAAATGTTTTTGTAATTCAAAATAACTATTTTCTATTTGATTATATTAAAATATAAATAAATATAGCAAGGAAACATATCTTTATTTTTTAAACAATGCTTAAAATAGTTTAGCCATTTAATTAGAGTAAACTTTATTATTTTTACTGGAATAAATGTAAAAAATAATAAAAAGTAAAATGTCAACATTGTCATTTTCATACCATTAATAGAACTAATTAACTTTTTTATTATTGGTAAATACAGTTTCTTTTTAATTGTATTTTGAAATGACATTTTATTATCAGTTATTGTATTAAATCAAGTTAAATCTAGATAAAAAATTTATATTATTATTTAAAATATAAACTTGAAATAATTTTACTAAAATATTTAAACTAAAATTAACATGTTTTTAGTCTCAATAAATATTTTTATTTAAATGAACTAAAATGTGTTTAATTTTATGGTTTCAGTGATCTACAATAATTTTAGTGCTTAATAGGGTTGTGATTTTTTATTTCATTATTCATTAATAAACAGAATTTTCAACAAAAAAAATGCATTTATTTGCAAGTATTAAACAATTTGTAACACTATGCTTGTCCTTCTTTTATCAGTTGAAACAGAAGATATTTTGAATATAGCTGGAAACTTTCATAGCATTTGTTTTTCCTACAATGGAAGTCAATGGTTACCGGTTTTTAGCTTGCTTCAAAATATCTTCTTTTGTGTTCAACAGAAGAAACTCATGAAGTAAAGAAATGTTTAAATTATATTTAAATTATTTAAATGGTTAGTTTGCTCAAAAACCTCCCCAGTTTTTTAATAAATTGTATCGTTTTAGCCTTTTTAAAAGAAATTTTTAACTGACAATAATTTCATTACATCAGGTTAATCTAAATTTAAATAAATGTTTATTTATTCTAAAAATAGCAATTTATTTGGTTTCATGATTCATTGATAAACTGAATTTTCAATAGAAATACTTTTTTAGTATTGAACCCTTTGTAACATTATAAATACCTTTATTGTCAATTTTGATAAATTAAATTTTCATCTTTTCTAAATAAAGTCTTGATATCTTTAAAAAAAATTTGCTTTTAAATAGATTATTTACCGCAAAACAAAAAAAACTTATGGTAACACTTTAAAATAATAGTCCATTAGTCTCTTAAAGTCAAGTGCTTTTTTGGGCAGTCAAAATTAGTGCATTAACGCATGCGATTAATTTGAAATATTTAATGCATTAAAAATAATTAACGCAATTGCAGTTTTTTTCGACGTGTGTTCAACATGCAAAGAAATATGGATAAGACCAAGGAAGCACTTTTTGAAGGCAAGTTTCAGTATAAAACAATTAATGTCGCATCACCAGGCTATCCAGTGTTTCATGCAATTTTGTATGTTTCATTTTTAATGTTTCGACTTTTGTTTTAGTAGAGTTTGATACCACATGGCGAATGGAAAGAAAAACCTCTGCATTTCATGACTCGGTGGTCCTTTAAGGTAACCAAAAATCGATGTTTACATGGTAGACTCTTAATAAGAGTATTATCTCAATCATATTAAAATCGGAGTGTTGGTGTCCATGTAAATGTACTCACTGAAAGTGCCAGATCATATTGCGAGCTGTCAAAGAGAGCGCATTCCTCTGCATTTAAGTTGATTCCATGCACCCTCAAATGTTTTATTAAGTTTGACGTGTTTCCCCCCTACACGCAACTTTTGTAAAGCGTCTGCTTCACGTTGTTGTGTCAGAATCCTTGTAAAATACAGACATACTTACGAACGCTTAGTTTAAGCTAATTTGATGAACGCGATCGTGCGTGTTGAATCTGAAGGGAGTCGCTATGGCTGCGCTCTCCTTTGCGTGTTGTGTGTGTGAGCGAGTGTGTGCAAGTGTGTGCGTGCATGCGTGCATGCTCTGGCAACAAGAACAAATGCCTAAACGTCGCCATTCCTATCCCTCAAAGTAGTTTAAATGTACAAAGATGGTGTGACCAAAGTCCCTGTAAGAATTAGTCTTTGCTGTAACTCAACGCGTACCTGTGGGTGCCTTTGATGTACCGCTTGATTCTTCTTACGTCCTTGTCGAAGCACCAGTGGCAACAAAATTAGGCTGACTCAGTGATTCTGCTTGTGAGAGACTGCTCTCACTCTCACATCATTCAAAAGAAAAGGTCCACATTGTCCCCCGATAATGTCAACAGACTAGTCTTAGCAACTGGCTGAATGTAAAGGAGGACTGAGTAAAATGGTTTCTACTTTGTAACTATTGTTCTCAATTATCAGCAATACAACTTTACAATGAGTTCAATTGTTTGTATTCATTACAGTATTAATAAAATTGTCAAATTTCCAAATCTGCAATGCCTTTATTTTGGCATTTTTTGCAGTCCACTTCGAATCCAATTAGGAAATAATTTTTTTTTCTTTATTGGTATTGATTATTTTAAAATTCAAATGGCATTAACATGCCTGTGTTTTAATTTCTGTAATAAATATGGCTGTCAAGCCAGGATCTTGGATGGTTTATTGTGGGTATGTTGTTTACATGAAGAAATCTGTGTTACAAGTTAAACAAAAATTCTAATAAACAATTATATTTTTCTGTTTTGCGTTTACTTTAATTTTACATTTGAAAATACAAAATTACAAGTTTCAGTCTTTTAAATGTGATTAATCGTGATTAATTGCAAAAAAATGTGATTAATTAGTTTGTTTGTTTATTTTTTTAATCGATTGACAGCACTATTTTAAACCCTTTGAATTTTCATAAAAAACCCTTGAAAGTGATTAAAATAATTGTATATGTTGTCTGTGTTGTATTAAACACCTATCTATAAACTCAAATTTGAAAGTGTACCGTTTAGGTTCTGTGTGATCTAGGTTGCTAAAATGTAAAGAATGCGAAATTAAAAGCCGTCACGAACCCAGTACAGGGTACACAGAGTTTATGTTACTTAATGTATTTACTATAATGGATAAACAATTAGTAATTATAGAATAAATATTACGGTATTTATTCATCTTCATTATTGTTAATGACATTTAAGTTAAATGACGTTAGTTCATGTTAACTCACAGTGCATTAACTACAAAGTTGTGTTACAAAGCACAACTTTGTATTTTAGTAATGCATTAGTTCATGTTGACCTATGATTAATAAATGCTTTGCATTATTATTTATACTTAGTCAATGTTAGTAATTACATTTTCACTCCTTTTACTTCTTTCAAACCTGCTTGACGAAGCTGGAAACCTACAACCATTTGACTTCCATCGTATTTTTTATTACGGAAATCATTGGTTACGATTTTTTAGCATTTTTCAAAATATCTTCTTCTGTGTTCAACAGAAAAAAGAAACTTTATCCCTTTAAATGATCAGTTCACCCAAAAGAAAAAACCATCCCCATCTGAAACCCACATGCCTTTCATTCCTAGAGGATCCCAAATGGTGTTATTTTGATGCTGATGTTGACGCTGCTCTTGTCCAAACAGCACAAGCACAAAAACACAGAGAATCTGGGGTCATTCGTGGGAAGCGAAGAGAAACACAGTCTGTGAAAGCCATTAGATTCAAAGATGAGCTCTTTATTACACCAGCAGGGAAGGCCTGATTTTCTAGCTGCCCATATGTTGAAGCTCTGCATATGCGTGTGTGATTGATAGCGGCGTGTAAAAGCACAGTGAATAATCGCACTCATAGACTGAGAAGGAGGTTTTGTCCACCGAGGGTCATTGTGCCACATCATTCATTAACCTCTGGGAGTTACAGGAGATACCTGACAAGCATTTTACAGTCACCAGGCAGCTTAAAAACCTCAAAATTCTTATTATAAACAGATAAATGAGAGCAGAGGTGACATCTGGAGAACAGCTGGCTGACGAAACATTGTTCTGCTTGCCTACGGTGAGATGAAACAGCATTCAAACTGCCATCTTTATGGAAAATGTTTATGATTATTTACCTTTATATGTGCTTCCCAGGTGAGTAACCACTGCGTTTTTGTGGACGCGCCTTAGTTTGTCCTCCAGAGCATGAATCTGAAAATAAAATAAGCACAAAAGTGGTGTAAAACTTAGGGCTCTATTTTGACGATCCATGCGCAGAACGCAAAACGCAGGGCGCAAACGCTTTCAGGGCGTGTCAGAACGCATTTTTGCTAATTTTACGGACGGGAAAATGTGCTTTGCGCAAGGCGCATGGTCTAAAAGGGTTGAGTTTATTTTCTTAATGAGTTATAGGTGTGTTTTGAGAATAAACTAATTAGAGTCTCATCTCCCATTCCCTTTAAGAGCCAGCTGCGTCGAGCCAAGAGCGCATTCGCTATTTACAGGACGCAAAGTAAGTCTAAGTGGAAAAACTGAGCATTTCACAAGCAAACAGTTAACAGTTTTTAACAGAAAACTGTTAAACAGAGCATCTACTGCGCGAGAATGAGAGATAATGGATTTACTTTCACATTCGCTCTTGGATAGGGAAACCTTTACGCACAGACATCAATTAGCCTATAAATAAATACTTTTGTTTGTTAAGTGCAAATATTCATTTCAAAACTATTTCTAAATTCAGTTCTAATTTCTAGCAAACGAATAAATGAACAATAATAACGAAGTGTGCTCAAAATACTGAGTTATTTCCAAATACACCTGCCATGCCCCATATGGTCTAAAATCTGACAGGTGGGCAAATCTAAGCTTGTTTTTAATAAAACAAATATAAATATGGATATATTAAATGATACTGCTAATAATAATAACATTATACAAAAGCAAATTGTTATGAATGAACTGAAAAAGATGAAGAAGACATAAAAGCAGTGATTTTTCATATTTATGTAGGCTAGAAAATAATATGTTTTGTAATATTTTAATCCTTTATATTTATATCCTATATCTATTCTTATTATATCCTATATATATCCTTAATATTTACATTTTTTCATATGTAAAGATATTTGATTATTATTCTCTTGTGCGTATTAAGCAGTGTGTAAGCGAGGCGCGACTCTGGAGTTTAGACCGGGTTAGTTTTGGTCTAATGAAAAATCTATTTTAGTTTCTCAAAATAGCAACGCGCCAGCAGTCCGCCTCAGAACGCCTTCCTTTTTAGACCAGAACGCCTATGGGCGCACAAATGAGCGCTAATGCATTTGCTATTTAAACAACGTAGCGCAACGCCTCAAAACTACCAAAAGACTACTGCGCCACGCCTTGCGCCACACTGCGCCGGGTGTATGATAGGGCCCTTAGACTGTATGTATAAAAAACATTTTACCATCAAGGTTATTTTACCAAACAGAGTAAAAGTTTTTTAGAAACACTTTAATTTAAGTAACAATTCACCCTAAAAACTAAAATACTTTTACTTTGCTTTGTCTGGTTTCAAGTCCAAATATCTAAAAAATCCAAAATGTATCTAAAAAATAAAATAATCTTATTTTCAATTTGAAATGTAGATATTTTGACTAGAAATAAGACTAAAAAAGTAAATAAATAAATCCTATAAATAATTACATACAAATAATGTTTGTTAGACCTCCAAACATTATATTGTTTTGTGCCCAAATGTATTAAAATCTCTTGAAATACTCTGTCACTGGCCTTAAACACATGCAGATAAAAAAATTACACTATTACGGTTAAACTTAACATTGACTCTACAAAGTGTTCTGTAGGTCCTGATTAACTTTAACTTATACTTAACGTTGCATATTTTGCGATGCGACTATTGCAGATGCACACATTGCATAATCGATGCTGAAACAATATGTTGTGCAGGACTAATATTCTAATTACTATATTAGTAATTAGTATCTAATCCTAATATTATATAGATTAATATCCTACAGTTCTACACAAGCGGTTCCCAACAGGTGGGGTCCCGGCCCACAAGGGGTCTCAGCGAGCTCTGTGGGGGGGGTCGCGTCATATTTATAAAATTTCCTAGCAGTGGACAATTAAAAGAATGATCATGTTGCCTTATCTATCTATCTATATCTATATCTATATATATATATATATATATATATATATATATATATATATATATATATATATATGAGCAATATCACACGAGTAGCAGTGCAATATGGCTGTATATCAGCACTGTATATCAGTGGGATGTGTGCGATGGCACGAGGCCACAGGCCGAGTGCCTTAGTGCCCCCACCAGTGCCGATATCCAGCCATATTGCACTGCTACAAGTGTGATATCGCGTTTATACAACAGTTTGACGGCATAATTGTGTATATAAAAACAAAATCAAACATGGAGAGTTTCAAAAACCCTTTTGTATGAGGAACTACTTTCTTCCACATTGGATTCAAATCATAAGCTGACAGTTAAACAGTTGAGCGTGCATCTTTTAAACTTTAGATCTGTAGTGTCTGCTTTTTGCTGGCTGTATGTGGGCGGAGTAATACACAAAGGGTAAATAGGCTGTAGGAGTTCTGATATTGCAGAATATCACACGGCTATCAGCAAATCAGATTTGAGAATCAGACAGATATATATATATATATATATATATATATATATATATATATATATATATATATATATATATATATATATATATATATATATATATATATATATATATATATTTATATATATATATATATATATACTGTCATAGCAGATGTCATTGTTTTTTTCCACCACTCTCTTGCCATCACCCTCATAAATTACAGGGAAACCAAAGAACCCCCAAACGCCAGACACGCTGTTGGTTATAAGAGGATTACATTAACGTTACTAGCCATTTTGCGAGCTAGTGCAGCTTGTGCCTGACTGGAGAAGTGTTTGTAGGGTGGGCGGGGAAGGCAGCTTGTTGCCTGTCACGTCATTTGGGATGCCTTGTTGCATTGAAAACATTATATTTTGTACACTTATTCTCTTTTATCTTTTTAGATATTAGTCTGAATCGTTCGGTTTGTAATGCGTACCGAACCGAAAGTCTCGTACCGAACGGTTCAATATAAATACGCGTATCGTTACATCTGTAATATATATATTTTTCTGAATGTAATGATCAGATGCCTGAAGAACGAAAACACTTGAAGCACTACCATTTAAAAATAGTAAAAATAATGTAGGTGAGGCCATTATTCTGAATAACTTCTCCAACACTGGTCCCCCAATTAACTAAAGCGTATTGCCCAGGGTGAAGTGGGGTCATAAAAACACAGGCATGTCCAGTGTGTGTGGCTCCTCGTGTGTGTTTGCGTTTGTGTGGGGTGAGAGAAACAGCATGATACTGTTTGTAAAGTTCAAATAAGAGTAAACAGATGTGCGGTGTAATGAATCTAATCTCTGGGTTTTACACAGATGGGAACGTGACGGGATGGTAAAACTTTTTTTCTCTTCTACATTGTCTTCATATGCGATGCTCATGTTTGCTAAAGCAACTGCTCAGTTTTTTTTTTTTCTTTCAGGTCAACTGCTGTCATGACAGAGAAAGATAATCCTGCTGGGAACGTTAGTGAAACTGTCAACAATGTTTATAGCTAGCTACCTGAAAAATTAGTCATCCGGTTTAGCGGTACTGACAGATATCCAACTAAACTGTCTGTCTTTGTTAGTTTACCTCTTCACTTACCCGGTCATGGTATTCCTGCTCCTTTAGCTTGGCCTCGCTTAACATGGTCGTCTTTTCTGCTAGATGAACCTGAATGGTGAAAGAGAGAAAGCAGACACAAATAAGAGCAAACTGTAGAGGTAAACTACTATTCAAAAGGTTGCTGTTTTTATGTCAGCAAAACTTCATTTATTTGATTAATAATACAACAAAAATGGCAGAAATTGTGAAATATTATCAGTAGTTAGAATAAAGGATGTCTACATCAATATGATTTTTGCAATTCCTTTTATAACAGTAACAGAATTTATACAGAATAAAATGCTAATGTTTTCGTTAAGTCACAAAAGCTCATTTATATGATCAAAACTACAGTAAAAATATATTACTATTTCAAATAAATGTAATAAAGTTAAATATATTTTAAAACAACATTTATTTTTGCGATTTAAAGCTGGATTTTCAGCATCATTACTCCAGTGTTCAGTTTCACATGATTATTCACACATCACTTTTTGATAAAAAAAGAAAGTGCTAAGTAACAGATTTTTTAAAAGTAAATAAATATATATATATATATATATATATATATATATATATATATATTTATATATATATCAGCCAATCAGATTTGAGAACCAGACAGATTAAGTAACAGATTTTTAAAAAGTAAATAAATAAACAATATATATATATATATATATATATATATATATATATATATGTATATGTATATGTATATGTATGTGTGTGTGTGTGTGTATATATATATATATATATATATATATATATATATATATATATATATATATATATATTACATTAAAAACATCTCTACTGTATAATAAAAATGGAAAGATTTTGTAATAATTTTACCATTTAAAATAAAAGGTTAACTTACTTACTTAAATGTATTTAAAAACAACATATATTTCTAAAAACACTGCGAAGTAACAAAATTTAATTGAAATATATATTTTTAACATTAAAAACATCTCCACAGTCTCTATCCATGCTAAAAAATATATATAATGTTGCTAAAGTCAGCAAGAATTTATTTATATAATAAAAATACAACAACACTATCAAATGTGTTAAACAATATTACTAATTAAAATAAAGGTTCAATCTATTTAATAACTACATTTTCTTGTTTTTGTGAATCAATGGTGTATTTTCAGCAACTTTACTTGTGCCACAAGATCATTCAGAAATCCTTTTTTGATGATTAGAAAGAACAAAATAACAACATTTATGCGAAATAAAAATCTTAATATTATAAACATCATTACTCTCTCAACTATGCATGCTGAATTAAATGACAATGTTGTTTTTAAGCGAGCAAGGCATTATTTAGATATTAAAATATAAATAATATAAATAAATAAAAATATAAATCATAAAAAAACTATCCTTTAAAATATTATTACTATTTAAAATAAAGATTATGTACTTTATTTAAAAACAACATTTATTTTTATGATTCAAAGCTGTATTTTCAGTATCGTTACTCCAGTCTTCAGTCATTTTTATAATTTTTTTGATGAACAGAAAGTGCAAAGCACCAGAATTTATACGAAATAAAAATCTTTTAACATTATAAACATCTCTACTGTCTTCTGCTATACATTGCTCAATAAAATTATTCATTTCTTCATAATTATTTTGGAATATATAAGCTTGGCAAGCTTTAAAACAGTCAAAACAAATGGAGATAATTAAACAAAAAAATAAATCTTACCTTTAACTCATCGAGACCCTGAAACACAAAACAAAATCAAATCAAACAACAACATCATCACACTTTAATCAACAACCAAAACATTCCAACCGTATCAAATTATATTAAACCATGTGGCATCAGAGTGTAAAAATGCAGAGGTGCGTGTCTGAGAGAGCGAACACACATGAGGACCACTTTATCCAGAACAAGGCTCAACTTTTGCCTCTCTCCAAGCATGAGAGCGGCACTGAGGCATAAATCTAACAGCTCAGGATGCTCTCAGAGGGGTTAATTGAGAACAGAGTCTGTCTGTTTAAGGCCTCTTTCTCAGGGATGCATACCAAACCTCTCCAGGAAATTCATTCCTACAAGCTCTTCTGGAGCGAGATTATTACACTGCAACTGGGAAAATTAAGTGATTTACAAATCGCTTTTGTCACTAGAGAGTTCAGAGTGTAGCTTGTGAGGATTAGCAGTCAAGGGTCATTTTTAGGGACCGAGCACCGAAACGGTGCGTAGGCCCTATTGGAATTGCTCTGTTTATTATTAGGGACCGAGCACCGAACGGTGCAAGGCCCTATTGGAATTGCTCCGTTTCTTATTATTCTTCTTCTTCTTCTTCTTCTTCTTCCGCGGAATGAATCGCGGTTTTGAGGGGCTAAACATGCCCGAAAACTCACGAAACTTTGCACACGCCTCAGAAGTGGCGAAAATTTACGTTTATTATGGGTCTCGGAAAAGGGTGTGGCAAAATGACTCGACAGCGCCACCTAGAAAATTTAAACGGACGAGCCCCCGATATACGAATCACGCACATGCACGAAAATTGGCACACACCTCAAACATGCCAAAACATACGAAAAAGTCTCTTGGAGCCATATCTCAAATCCAACAGGAAGTTGGATATTTTTGACTTCCTGTGGCGAAAAAGTGGCGTTTTTGCCATTTCCAGGCGTTGTATTTTAACGAACTCCTCCTAGGGATTTTATCCGATCGACACCAAAATTGGGTTTTGTCATCTAAAGGCCTTGGCGATGTTAAATTGCGAAGCTTTTGAGTTTTCGTCGATGGGCGTGTCCATGGTGGCCTCGCAAACTTTGACGATTCGCCACAAAACAGGAAGTCGTTATAACTCAGGCATGCATTATCCGATCTGCCTCAAAAGTCACACGTTTGATAAGAGTCCTGACCAAAACACGTTTACATGCCAACATATAGATACAGGTATAGCGCCACCTGCTGGGCACAGGAAATGACATGTTTTACACTGTAACAAACTCCTCCCACAAATTTTATCGTATCAGCACCAAAATTGGGTAGTGTTATCTGAAAGCTCTAGCGATGATATATTGTGAAGATCTAGAGTTTTTGCAGAGGGGCGTGTCTGTGGCGGTATGACAAACCTCAACGCTTCGCCATGGAACAGAAAGTCCTTATAACTCAACCACACAATGTCCGATCTGCCTGAAACTACACATGGTTGATTAAATTCTTCTCCTGACCACATCCCCATGACAATATTGAAGTGGGCGTGGCAAAATGACTCGACAGCGCCACCTAGAAAATTTAAACGGACAAGCCCCCGATCCACGAATCACGCACATGCACGAAAATTGGCACACACCTCAAACATGCCAAAACATACGAAAAAGTCTCTTGGAGCCATATCTCAAACCCAACAGGAAATTGGATATTTTTGACTTCCTGCGGCCAAAAAGTGGCGTTTTTGCCATTTCCAGGCGTTGTATTTTAACAAACTCCTCCTAGGGATTTTATCCGATCGACACCAAAATTGGGTTTTGTCATCTAAAGGCCTTGGCGATGTTAAATTGCGAAGCTTTAGAGTTTTCGTCGATGGGCGTGTCCGTGGCGGCCTCGCAAACTTTGACGATTTGCCACAAAACAGGAAGTCGTTATAACTCAAGCATGCATTATCAGATCTGCCTCAAAATTCCCACGCTTGATAAGAGTCCTGACCTGAACACGTTTACATGCCAATATCCAGATACGGTTATAGCACCACCTGCTGGCCACAGGAAATGACATGTTTTACAGAGTAACAAACTCCTCCCACAAATTTTATCATATAAGCACTAAAATTGAGTGGTGTTATCTGAAAGCTCTAGCGATGATATAATTTGAAGATCTAGAGTTTTTGCAGAGGGGCGTGTCCGTGGCGGCATGAAAAACCTCAACGCTTCGCCATGGAACAGGAAGTCCTTATAACTCAACCACACAAAGTCCAATCTGCCTGAATCTTCACATGGTTGATAAAAGTCCTCTCCTGAACACATCCCCATAACAAGATTGAAGTGGGCGTGGCAAAATGACTCGACAGCGCCACCTATAATAATTAAACGGATGAGCCCCTGATCTACGAATCACGCACATGCACGAAAATTGGCACACACCTCAAACACGCCAAAACATACAAAAAAGTCTCTTGGAGCCATAACTCAAACCCAACAGGAAGTGGGATATTTTTAACTTCCTGCGGCAAATAAGTGGCATTTTTGCCATTTCCAGGCGTTGTATTTTAACGAACTCCTCCTAGGGATTTTATCCGATCGACACCAAAATTGGGTTTTGTCATCTAAAGGCCTTGGCGATGTTAAATTGCGAAGCTTTAGAGTTTTCGTCGATGGGCGTGTCCGTGGCGGCCTCGCAAACTTTGACGATTTGCCACAAAACAGGAAGTCGTTATAACTCAAGCATGCATTATCAGATCTGCCTCAAAATTCCCACGCTTGATAAGAGTCCTGACCTGAACACGTTTTCATGCCGATATCCAGATACAGGTATAGCGCCACCTGCTGGCAACAGGAAATGACATGTTTTACATCGTAACAAACTCCTCCCATAAATTTTTTCGTATCAGCACCAAATTTGGGTTGTGTTATCTGAAAGCCCTAGCGATGATATATTGTGAAGATCTAGAGTTTTTGCAGAGGGGCGTGTCTGTGGCGGCATGACAAACCTCAACGCTTCGCCATGGAACAGGAAGTCCTTATAACTCAACCACACAATGTCCGATCTGCCTGAAACTTCACATGGTTGATAAAAGTCCTCTCCTGAAGACATCTACATGCTAATATTGAGTCACAGTCATAGCGCCACCTGCTGGCAACAGGTATTTTGGCTTATAACTCAGCCACACAATGTCAGAACTGCTTGAAACTTCACATGGTTGATAAAATTCTTCTCCTGAAGACATCTACATAACAATCTTGAGTCACAGTCATAGCGCCACCTGCTGACAGGAGGAAGTTTGGCATAAATCTGTGGATTTTTCAGGTTTTTTAGATATATCGGCTTAAATTGTTATAGTTCACTGTTCTCTGTCATCCTGAGGCCACCGGGCGGCGGTGAGCCCGGGTGCGAGGTCCCTATCATCGCTGCTTGCAGCTTTAATTATTCTTCTTCTTCTTCTTCTTCTTCTTCCGCGGAATGAATCGCGGTTTTGAGGGGCTAAACATGCCCGAAAACTCACGAAACTTTGCACACGCCTCAGAAGTGGCGAAAATTTACGTTTGTTATGGGCTTCGGAAGTGGGCGTGGCAAAATGACTCGACAGCGCCACCTAGAAAAATTAAACGGACGAGCCCCCGATATACGAATCACGCACATGCACGAAAATTGGCACACACCTCAAACGTGCCAAAACATACGAAAAAGTCTCTTGGAGCCATATCTCAAACCCAACAGGAAGTCGGATATTTTTAACTTCCTGCGGCGAAAAAGTGGCGTTTTTGCCATTTCCAGGCGTTGTATTTTAACGAACTCCTCCTAGGGATTTTATCCGATCGACACCAAAATTGGGTTTTGTCATCTAAAGGCCTTGGCGATGTTAAATTGCGAAGCTTTAGAGTTTTCGTCGATGGGCGTGTCCGTGGCGGCCTCGCAAACTTTGACGATTCGCCACAAAAGAGGAAGTCGTTATAACTCAGGCATGCATTACCCGATCTGCCTCAAAATTCACACACTTGATAAGAGTCCTGACCTGAACAGGTTTACATGCCAATATCCAGATACAGTTACAGCGCCACCTGCTGGCCACAGGAAATGACATGATTTACGGAGTAACAAACTCCTCCCACAAATTTTATCGTATCAGCACCAAAATTGAGTGGTGTCATCTGAAAGCTCTAGCGATGTTATATTGTGAAGATCTAGAGTTTTCGCAGAGGGGCGTGTCCGTGGCGGTATGACAAACCACAACGCTTCGCCATGGAACAGGAAGTCCTTATAACACAACCACACAATGTCCGATCTGCCTGAAACTTCACATGGTTGATAAACGTCATCTCTTGAACACATCCACATAACAATATTGAAGTGGGCGTGGCAAAATGACTCGACAGCGCCACCTAGAAAAATTAAACGGACGAGCCCCCAATCTACGAATCACGCACATGCACGAAAATTGGCACACACCTCAAACATGCCAAAACATACGAAAAAGTCTCTTGGAGCCATATCTCAAACCCAACAGGAAGTCGGATATTTTTAACTTCCTATGGCGAAAAAGTGGCGCTTTTGCCATTTTCAGGCGTTGTATTTTAACAAACTCCTCCTAGGGATTTTATCTGATAAACACCAAAATTGGGTTTTGTCATCTTAAAGCCTTGGTGATGTTAAATTGCGAAGCTTTAGAGTTTTCATCGATGGGCGTGTCCGTGGCGGCCTCGCAAACGTTGATAATTCTCCACAAAACAGGAAGTCGTTATAACTCAGGCATGCAATATTCGATCTGCCTCAAAATTCACACGTTTAATAACAGTCCTGACCTGAACAGGTTTACGTGCCGATATCCAGTTACAGTTATAGCGCCACCTGCTGGCCACAGGAAATGACATGTTGACACTGTAACAAACTCCTACCGCAAACTTTCCCGTATCAGCACCAAAATAGAGTGGTGTCATCTGAAAGCTCTAGCGATGATATATTGTGAAGATCTAGAGTTTTTGCAGAGGGGCGTGTCTGTGGTGGCATGACAAACCTCAACGCTTCGCCATGAAACAGGAATTCCTTATAACTCAACCACACAATGTCTGATCTGCCTGAAACTTCACATGATTGATAAAAGTCCTCTCCTGAACACATCCACATAACAATATTGAGTCAGTCATAGCGCCACCTGCTGGCAGAAGATAGTTTGGCTTGTAACTCGGCCACACAATGTCCGATCTGCCTGAAACTTCACATGGTTGATGAAAGTCATCTCTTGAGCACATCTACATAGTAATATTGAGTCAGAGTCATAGCGCCACCTGCTGGCAGAAGTAATTTTGGCTTATAACTCGGCCACACAATGTCAGATCTGCCTAAAATGTCACATGGTGGATGAAAGTCCTCTCCTAAACACATCTACATAATAATATTGAGTCTTTCATAGCGCCACCTGCTGGCAGAATGTAGTTTGTCTTAAAACACAATCTCCACACAATCTCTGATCTGCCTGAAACTTCACATGGTTGATAAAAGTCCGCTCCTGAACACATCCACATAACAATATTGAGTCAGTCATAATGCCACCTGCTGGCAGAAGGTAGTTTGGCTTATAACTCAGCCACACAATGTCCCATGTGCCTGAAACTTCACATGGTTGATAAGATTCCTCTCCGGAAGACATCTACATGCCAATCTTAAGTCAGAGTTATAGCGCCACCTGCTGACAGGAGGAAGTTTGGCATAAATCTGTGAGTTTCTTAGATTTTTTTTATATATTGGCTTAAATTAATATTGTTCGCTGTTCGCTGTCATCGTAAGGTCACCGGGCGTCGGTGAGCCCCGGTGCGAGGTCCCTATCATTGCTGCTTGCAGCTTTAATTGAGATTTGTATTTATTGGTAACACCTTTACACTGGGGTTTATTCATTCATCCTTCAGCTTAGTCCCTAATTTACCAGGGGTCGCCACAGTGGAATGAACTGTCAACTATTCTAGCATATGTTTACACAGTGGATGCCCTTCCAGCCGCTACCCGGTACTGGGAAACACCCATAAACGCTCACATTCATACACACAAATACACTATGGCCAATTTTGTTTACCCAATTCACCTATAGCACATGTGTTTAAACTGTGGAGGAAACTGAAGCACCCGGAGAAAACCACACGCCAACACTTGGAGAACATGCAAACTCCTACTACAGAAATGCCAACTGACCCAGCCGGGACTCAAACCAGCGATCTTCCTGCTGTGAGGCGACAGTGCTAACCACTGAGCCACTGTGCCACCTACAATAAGGTTGTATTAGTTAAAGTTAGTTAATGCATTCCAGAAATGATCAGATGTGCTCCAACATTAGATACATTCAAATCAAGACTGAAAACACATCTGTTTAGCTGTGCCTTTACTGAATGAGCACTGTGCTATGCCCCACATACCGTACTATTATGTCTTTCTTATATTTTTCATTCATTTATAACCTGTTTAACACATTTTAATTTGCTTTATCTTTATTTTTTTTCTTTTATTCTTATTTCAGTAAAGCACTCTGAATTACCATTGTGTATGAAATTTGCTATGTAAGCAAACTTGTCTATAAGTAAACACAGTTGTTCATTATTAGTTCATGTTAACTCAAGGTGCTTTAATGTTAAAAGCATGATTTTAGATGTTAATCATGCATTGGTTAAGGTTGAACTAAGATTAACAAATGCTCTACAAGTATTGTTTATAATTAGTTAATGTTGGTAAATACTAATCTAATGGAACCTAATTGTAAAGTGTAAGCTATTTATTTTTGTTAATTTAGCAGAAGCTTTTATTGAACGAGAAACACAACAAAGCATAATTCATAAGAGAACACTGATCAGAACACAAAAAGTTTCAGCACATGTGTCTGACATCAAAAACATGCACAGATGCACATGGAGAGAGAGAGAAAAATAAATAAATAAATCAAACCCAGATGGGAATCTAGCGTTAGTTTTGCATGTTAGAATTTCCCAGATATATGTAATATTTCATGCTCAAATGCTGAGGATGAAGACTAATGGCGAATATTCGAATGGAACAGCAAAAGCTAATTTTAAATTTTAATAAATGTAACATATAGTGTACCATGTATTGTATTAGTTAATATATCAATGAAAATATCACAAAAACTAAAACATCTCAAAACTTGAATAAAATATTCACATATATTATTATAATTATGATTATTATTTAGAAAATGTACATGATGTACAGAAAGGGTATATCATTTTTGCTATGGAGATTTCATTTATCTAGTTGGTGGGTGGACGGGTGAATGAACGGCCAGATGAAATAATAGAACAACTGAGTACGATAAAACAACAGATCAAGATGCCTAATAACAGATCAATATATCTAAATCAATCAATCAACCAATAAAACCGGAAAACACAAAAGATGGATGGATGGAATAAGCAAAAGATGGATAGATGGATGGATGTATTGACTGGATGTGAATGAAAATACTGAACAAATTAATGGACAGATGGACAGACGGATGGAATAAACAAAAGACGGATGGATGGATGAATGGATAAAAAATAAATCTTTGGACTGGATGGATGGATGGATGGATGTTTGGACTGGATGGATGGATGGATGGATGTTTGGACTGGATGGATGGATGTTTGGACTGGATGGATGGATGAGTTAATGAATGGATGAAACTATTGGATAGATGGATGGATGAATGAAAAACGGATGGATGGATGGATGGAACTATTGAATGTATGAATGAATGGATGAAAAAAATGGATGGATGGATGGATGGATGTTTGGACTGGATGGATGGAATAAATAAAAGAACGATGGATGGATGGATGAATGGATGTTTGGACTGGATGGATGAGAGAAAGGATGAATGAAACTATTAGATGGATGGATGAATGGATGGATGGATGAAAAAAATTAATGGATGGATGGATGGACAGACGGACGTTTGGACTGGATGGATGGATGTTTGGACTGGATGGATGAGTGAAATGATGGATGAAACTATTGGATGGATGGATGAAACTACAAATAAAAACTGGATGGATGGAATAATATAACAATAAATAGAGCAAAGAATGATGCATGGAACAATAGACAGAATGATAAAACTATAGAACAATAGATTGAAAATCGATAAAACAAAATCAATCAATCAACAAATAAAAGCTCAAGGATGAATGGATGGATGGATGGATGGGACAATAGAAAAATAGATAGAGCAAAGAGGGATAAACTACAGAACAATAGATAGACAATATGATCATTAGAAAAACATAACAATGGAACGACAGAATGGTAGAATAATAGATGAAATGATAGACAGAATGATAGATAGGCAGGTAGAAAGACAAATATATAGACAGACAGATATTTAAGTTTTGAAAATTGAATTAAATCTAAAAACTACTCTTCTAATAAATAACCATATAACCATTTTTGCACCAGACACATTTTTTAATCACTCCATATATAAAAAAAAAACCTTGTGCGTTTATGAAGTGTGCTTCACACAGGTGAGTAGGCTTGACAAACCACCTGTAAAAACACTCTCTCCGTAAAAAACACACTCCCCCCCCCACTTCTAATTCTATCACTAAATTCTCTGAGAACAAAAAGTTCCCTTGTATAATCAGCACTTGTTGTGTGTATTGCCTCTTCTTGTTGAATTGCTGACTGCCTCCTCAATTTTAAGTCACTTTGACCAAAAGCATCTGCTAAATGACTGAATGTGATTGCGAATGAGCTGTTGCATAGGCAGTGTTTGTACCTGTGGGCCGCTGAGACTCCTCTGCTGCAGCTCCTCCAGCTCCTTCTGCACCTCCCACACGCGGTCCCCCATCTCCACCTCACGACTCTGCAGGAAGAACTAATGCTGAGCAAGCGTACATTTCAGCCTCACTCAGTTCACAGAGCTGCCATACTAGTTCATTTTCAGCTAATAAACTTGGGTCATAAAATGCACAGGTAAACAATTAGATCTAGAGAATGCGGAAATAATCCTATGACAAATAGTTAGTGTGCTTCTCTATCAGGCTGGATGTAAGCATCAGCATACGGTCTGTATCATTCACTACAGCTCTCGGAGGGGTTTGAGGTGCTAGGTGACTGAGGTAAGTGTTTCCTGATGATAAACAAACTATTAGCTGAAACTTGAACTTACAGACTATGTGCTGGAATTAAGCAAAAGGCAATAAACTCCTCAGAGAATTCCTCTAGTGCCAATGTCTTTCTATAAAGTTGTATTATCTGAAGCATCTGCTAGCCATTTATCAGGTATCTCACAGTTAAACACAAAGCTACGGTTTCACTTTATTTGGCTGTACCTGAAGGACCTGCTCGTAGCGTTGAACCGTTCTGTTTAGGTCTTCTTCCTTCTGAGAGATTATTTTCTGAAGCTGACTGACTTCATCTCGATGGCTTTCTATAAGCTCCGTTTCAACACACTGAGCTTTCTCTGCGTGGATATAACAAACAAAAAAAGTACAGTAAGAAGACATGAAGGTCACCATAAAGTGAGTGTACAACACTCATTTCCAGACTGAAAGGAAAACATGGCAGGATTGAAAACACATGGTGAATCAGTTATGAATTCCATCTCTCACATTTCCTGAAGGTCAGTAAATCAGAAAATGAGACCAACTATGAAAACGTTTTTTGTTCATGTCAACAATGCTTTCCAAGATTTTATTCGGTATCTTTAACAAGATTTTTTTTAAATTTTACTCAAAGGAATACTTCATTCAAGATTGTAAACTCTTGTACTTCCACAAACGAAAGAAATTCATACGGTTATTAATGTGTGAAACACAAAAGAAGACAAGCAGAGTGTTCATAATGCTCATTTTAATATTCAATTCAATTTAATTCAGCTTTATTTGTATAGCGCTTTTACAATGTAGACTGTGTCAAAGCAGCTTCACATAAATTGTCATAGTAACTGGATCAGGGTAGTTTAGTTTTTAATGTTTAAGGGTGCTTTCACACCTACACTTTTGTTTCGGAACGTGTCTCGTTTGCCCAGTTAGCGCGGTTCGTTTGGCATATGTGAACAGGGCAATTGCGCTCTGTTCCGCGCCAAAGTAATCGCTCCGAGATCGCTTGAGTGAGGTGGTCTCGGCTCGATTAAAACGAACCCTGGAGCGGTTTGATTGCACTGAGAAAGCGATCCGATCCGAGCGCGGTTATATCACAGTGTTTTATGGATATGTAATAGGCATACGGCTATATGAAGAGAGAATTATGAGTAGAGCGGGAAGTTTCGCGAGTCTCCGGATGCCCGCAAACGAGTGATGATCTCCCGGAAATCTCGCATCTCCCTCCCGGTCCTCAAATAGGCATCGTCGCGCACCCTTCTCACCCCTCCCCACCGCATCTCTCCTCAGACACGTCGCGCGCGCACCCTGTCAATCACCACTAAACCACCACCTCTCCTGACAGCTTAGCGGGACGCTGCAAAATAAACCCTGACACTCTGACCAATGTGAGGAGAGTTTACTCGCACGTGACTTGTTTTAGCTCTTTTGGTCCGATTAGAAACTTTGCAGTTTGAAAGCGAACCGCTCCAAGAGTAAAGAGCAACAATGTAACAATTGTAATCTCTGTTTCAGAACAACTGAATCGATTCACAGGTGTGAAAGCACCCTAAGTTCAGTTCAGTTTAGCTCAGTTCAGTGTGGTTTGAAGTCATTACTAAGAGTCCAAACACTGAAGAGCAAATTCATCGATGAGTAGCTTTTCAGATCCTGAACCATGCAAGCCAGTGGCGACAGCGGAGAGGGAAAAAAACTTCACCAATAGGAGAGTGAAGAAAAAAAACCTTGTGAGAACCAGACTCAGTTTGGCATGATTATTTTAATTTCTCTGCTGGCCAAAAGTCTTGTGTAGAGCTGCAGTCTCAGCAGCAATATAAATGAAAGACTACATTTTTACTTCTAGGTGAACAATTCATTCATTTCTTTTCCTTAAGCTTAGTCCCTTTATCAACAGCGGAATGAAACGCCAACTTTTCCAGCATGTTTTACACAGCGGATGCCCTTCCTGCAGCAACCCAACATTAAGAAACACCCATACACTCTCGTATTCACACACATACATTACAGCCAATTTAGTTTATTCAATTCACGTAGAGCGCATGTGTTTGGACTGTGGGGGAAACCAGAGCACCTGGAAACTCCACACAGGAGTCGTCGCAATTTTGCTAAATAAATCCATGTCGCAATTTTGCTAAAGTAGTTCACGCCTCCTCCTGAAGTGACTTGCGATGCGTCTTCGTCATTTGCAATGCATTAAAACATTGTTTTCCAGCTGCAGCCGCACTTCATTCTTGAAATGTATAGTTTGTCTAAAGGGATGTATACAAACTATAAAGTATACTATGAGCAGGGATACAATAAACCAATGCAGCCATCCCTTTATAGTAAAAAGCGACATTTTGTGTCTGCTGGCTTGTTTACTTGGGGGAGTTCCATTGGCATTTTCCTGCATGTTAATTCTGACCAATAGAAAAGCAGTTTAGGAAATGCGTTCAATAACATCTGGCCAATGAGTGATGTGGATGTTGTCACATGACTGCATTTTGGTTCTTTTCAACTGTTTCGAACCAAAGCAAACCAAATTTTGGGTGTGAAAAGGACTCAAAATAGCAGAAAAATGCTACAGTGCATCATGTGTTGCTCTTGATCCAGACCAAATGATGTGAAAGCACCCAGAGGGTTCAATAGACTGATTTCACGCGGCTGCCATTTTCAAAAGCGAAATCGAGGCTGCGGAAGTATCATTGGGAGTTACATAGGAATGTTGTGTAACTGGCTGTATATCTTATCAGCGAAGATAAAATGACACAAATTTATCATTTCTCCGCCTTCCGGATGACCCGAAGGTCGATTCTGAATGAATGGTGAATGTAAAAAGGGATATCAGAGCTTATTTTTAGCTAAGTTAAGGGAAATGGCACTGGTTAGCTAATGTTTTCTTTCCCAAACACACGTTTTAGATGCCATTTATCAAACTCAAGTTAATAAACTGATTCTTTCACTATATTAGACTTGTCACGTTACTGAATTAAAAGAAAAAACGGCAATTTCACGCTAACAATTAAGGCACTGTTGATGGCTTTCTTAAACAGCGCTGATTTGCCATTGTGGTCACGTGTTCAACAGAAATGACTGTGATTGGCCGAGAAGGTCATCAGTTCACCCACCGCTGTATACTGAGCACAAACACAGACGAGTCGAGCAATCTGCTTGATGACTCGACTGATCTTGACAGCTGCTTCGTGCTCCAGTCCGTGTGTCTGTGTTTGCACTGGGTGAAGAGCGGTAAACTGAGTGCAAACCAAACACAGATACACGGAGACTGAAGCGCAAAGCCGTGAAGATCAGTCGAGTCATCCGCGCTCAGCAGCGCTTCCATGTTAGCGGGAAACAGCCGGGTTTAAAACTTCAGTACCAGGACAACACTAATACAGATAACTCGAGGGCGTGCTACAGATGACTGCAGTGTTTTATCACTCACCGGGTTACATAGGCTGAATCAGGAAAGTGTCCTCACTGTGTTTTACTAGTGCCATGAGCTGAAGCCTAGGAGGACACTTGAGCATATCACTGAGATTGTGATCTTGTTTTATGCTAAATTGCTTTTAATCGTTTAAAACAAACTTACTGAATAATATTAAAGTGGTGGTTACACCATTTCTGTATTTTGAAATCTCGACAACAGCTGGAGGTTTGTAGTACACAGCATGTTACTGCAATGTTTACAGTGCTGGTCCTATACTTTCTTGTTTCTTCCCACCGCAGCCTCGCTTTGGTTCTTTAAAATGGCGGCCGCGTGAAATAAGCGTATAGACAAACCGGACCAAAACCAGCAGGAGCACTAGCTCTGAACTAGCACTTGGTTCATTCTAGCTGAATAGGGAACTATTGTGACATGAATGCTCTCAGACAGAAATCTTACAACTTAAGGCAGAACAGAAATTATGTGCACTGATATAAAGAACAATGAAACAGTGCAGGTGCATTGTTGGGCAAGAAGGTTCTAGAAGACTCCTATAAACAAGTAATATGCCAGACTTACCAATGGTTTCTTTTACTGAACCTTCCAGTTCCTTTTCCTTCAGGGCCATTTGGGTGTTAAACTCCCTCATTAACTGCTTGAGAGCAGAGTTGTGTTTCATTTCCATGTCTTCCATTTCAAGCCTGTTTAAAAACGTAAGATCACCATCAATATGAACCCTGGGAACAACTCTGTGGTTGAAAACGTGCATCCTTACATCAAGGAGAAACATGAACCACAAGCCACCTGTTTCTAAAATGAAAGAGAAAAAAAAGTCACATAAATCTTACTTGAGCTTCTTCTCATTTTCCTCAGCCATCTCTTTTTTCAGGAACTCCAACTCCTTCTCATGCTCTTTCCTTAGAGAACGGAGATCTTTTTGCAGTCTGCTATAATCTTTGTGGATCTTCTGCTTTTCATTCTCGGCTTCCACCAGCTTTCTCTGAAGATCATTCTCTGAGGTGTTTGTATTGTTGATTAGGCACTCCCCATCACTCTCCCCGTTTCTTTGAGGCGAACTTTGTTGTGCTTTTAACTCGTTTTCTTTATCTTCTAGCCTCTGCTGTAAATCTAGCAGCTTCTCTTCGTATTCTTTCACCAATAAATTCTTTTGACTCAACCAGTCATCCTGGTTCCCAACAGTGTCCATGTTTTCCTTTGCTACTAACATTGCAGGCTCCATTCCTAACCTATTACTGTTTATTTGCACCTCACAAACCTGTTCCCTCTCAACTTCATCAATCTGTTTCTGCTTAATCTGTTCTCGAAGATCAGAGCATGTCTGTTGAAGCTCTTGCACTCTAGATGTCTGTTCAATCAGATCTTCTTTAAGGCGACTCACCTCATTTTGGTAGTTGGCGATCTGCTCATTAGATTCTGAGAGTTTGGTCTCAAGATCTACAAGTCTTGAAGACGTTTCTCTAGCAGCAGCAGCAGAGTGCTCCTCCTTCGCAGATATGTCTTTATGAAGACAAGCAAGCTTCTCCTCGTACATTTCTTGTAAATTTTGCAAAGAGGTCAGTCTTTCATCTTTCTCCTTCTCCTGCAATTCTTGTAGATGCTTTGCGTGGTCCTCATTTAATTTCGCAGTGGTTTCTTGCATCGTTTTCTCGAGTGATTTTATATGTTCTTCTTTTTCAATCTGGGATTGCTTGATAGTTTCCAACTGCACATGCAGGTCTTTGATGACCTGCTCCTTCTCCTCAATTTGTGAAGTCAATTGTTTACGAATCATGCCAATCTTCTGCTCTGCCTTTTTCTTCAACTCAGCCACTTTAACACCAGTCTCAGAGGATGCCTTTACCTGGGCAGCTTTTACAGCCTCCTTTTTCTCTTTAAGAATCTCAGCCTTCTCCCTCTCGAAATCCTTCCTCTGGGATTCCAGCTCCTGCTTGGCTGATTCAATATCTTTCCTCAAAGACTGAAGACTTTCCTCAGTTTTTTGCATTAGGGCACCGTTTTGAGAGCTTTGGTCCTGAGCTTCCTGCACCTGTTTCATCAACTCTGTCTTTTCACTCTCCCTTATGTTATGATGCTGCTGCAAATCAGCTGCAAGCTGATCCCGTTCTTTTACCCTTAACTGTAACTGCTCCTCCAAATCACAAACTTTCTTTGAGCAACTTTCCAGCTCTGAGGTCAAGGCATGAACTCTCTGATCTTTCTCACTAAGAGCCTGGTCCATCTCGGACTTACTAATGGAGTGATTGTCAACGCTGGCAGTGAGCGTCTGAAGCTGTCCATCCTTCTCTGCAATTTGCCTCTCCATGTCTGCAAGTTTATCTTGAAGAGATTTAACAGTGCTGTGACTCTGACTGAACTTCTTTTTCAGCTCAGAGAACTTATTCCTGAGTGAGTCTACCTGCTCTTGAAGCAAGGTCTTCTCTTTTTCTAGCTTTTCTACAGTTTCCCCCATTTGGGACGTCACCCTCTCTTTGTCCTTACTGTGTTGCTGATTCAGCAGAGATATGGCTTCCTCTTTCTCAGTTATGCTACTTGCTAACTGGGTCTTCAAGTCATTTATTGCAGATTCTAGATCGCTGATTTGCAAAATATTTGCTTTGAGATTTTCTGATACGTTTTGTTTTTCTTCACATAGCTGCTTAATGTGAAGGTCTTTCTCAGAAAGTACCTGGAAGCGACTCTCTGCATCAGTTTGCAGAGATTCCCGTTCAGTTTGTAAGGCTTTAAGAGTCTCTGAACTTTCCCCAAACTGCAGAGTAATCTCATCAAGAGAGCTCTTTAGATTATGATTCACATCCAAAGTGTGCTGAAGTTCTTTCTCTAAAGTGCTGATTCTGTTGTCCTTCGTCTTGATAATATTTCTTAGATATGCAACCTTATTTTGGTGATCTATTACCCGGAGTTGTAACGCCCCAACTCGTTCATCAACTTTCTTACACAGCTCAACAGAAAAACCATCTATCTTAGCTTGGGCTTCCTGACAACACTGCTTAAACTCCATTGTGAGGGAACACAATTGTGCCTGGAACTCTTTTTCTTTATTTTGGAGCTCAGCAGTTTTTTCTGCAAGTGTCCTCTGGAGATGTTCACCCTCTTTACACTTGGAAGTTTCAAGCAAGCTTATTTTTTGCTGAGTGTTTACTAACTCTTCAGATATGGCCTGCAGTTTCTCTTTACTAGTTTCCTCAACCTTTCTCAGTTCATCCTGCAGAAGGTTCCGTTCATTCAGTGCCTGGTTTAGATTCTTCTCCATGGTTTCGACTTGTCTTTTAAGCATACCTTCCCCTTCAGACAAGGTTTCCAGTTTGCTTGCTGCCTCCCTGAGCTCTGTCTGTAGTTTCTGCACAGTGGTTTCCCTCATGGCAAGCTCCTCCCTGAGGTTTTGGATATCTTTTATGATTTGTTCATTTTCTTCTTTGCTGGATGAAAGCAAACGTGAGATCTCCTCCAACTCCTGGGCTTTATCTTGCAAAGTTTGACTATGCTTTTCTTGCATCTCCTCTTCATTCTGGTTGAGTTTCTCCTGCCAATGACGAACAAGGTCTTCTAGCTCTTGTTTATGGTTCACCTGAAGCTTGTCTAAGTGCTCCTTGTGATTGGCCTCCAAATCAGACATGGCAGTGCTGAGGCCCTCAGAACTTGTTTGTGCCATCTCAAGGATCTTCTCCTTTAGCTGCTGGTCTTTCAGTTCCAACTCTTGAATCTTCTTTGATAACTCCACTTTTGCACTCTCTTCCTGATCCTGAAGCTTCTTCTTCATCTTATCCTGTGCTTCTTTGGCTTTCTGCTTGAATTTCTCCAGTTTGTTTTCCTGGGATTTCAGCTTGCAATCCATGTCTTTTCTAATATTCTCAAGTTTCTTCTCTTGAGAACTCTTCTGGTCATCTAGCTGCTTCCTCAACCGGTTTTGCTCCTCTTGCAATGTTTTACAAGTTGCAGCATGCAAATTCTCTTTCTCAGATAGATCTTTCTTGATATGCTCAATCTTCTGAACTAGTTCCTGAAGTTCATTTGTCTTTTCTTCAAGACACACTTCTTTCTCCTTACAGTCATTACGCACTGCCTCAAGGGTTTCCTCAAGATTTTTTACTTGATCCCTGGCTTGTTGGAGTTCATCTGTAAGTGTGCTAACCTGTGATCTTGATTCCTCAAGTGCCTCTTTATTTAACTGTGCCCTGAGCCAAAGTTCCTCCAATTGCGCACTTCCATCTTCCAGCAAAGACTTTTCCCTGAGCACATGTTCCTCTAATACTTTTTCCTTCTCCTCCAGCGCAATCTTCAGATGATTTATCTCTTCTTTCAGCATCTTCTCCACTCCTGCAAATGACTGTTCATTTTTATTAGCAGCCTCAATCTCAGCCTGATGTTTTGCTTGCTCTTTCTTGATCCTTTCCTCAAACTCTTGTCTTAAGGTTTCACTGGTGGCCTCCACAGAGGACAATCTATCTTCTAACTGTTGTTTACTATTCAATAACTCACTGAGTTCAGCAGACACAGTCTCAAGCTCAGTCTGTTTATCACTCAATTTATCAAGTATCTTTTTGTTCATGTCTTCTACATGAGAATGGAACTGCTCCTCCTTGTCTTTCAGAATGGATTCAATCTCTGCTTTATGTTTGTGAATGAGCTCTTCCATAGCGACATCATGCTCCTGTCTGAGAGCTGTTATCTGCTCTGACACTTTACTTTCCAGCTCTTGCTTGTGTGTCTCTCCCAGAGTAGCTATTTCAGCCTCGTGTATTTTTCTCTGCTCTTCTATTTGCGTACCCAGTTCATCCAACTTCTCTGGGCTACCCAGACAACTCTCAAGTTCTTGAATTCTCTGTATTTAAAAACAAAATCAGAAACGTCCAGTGTTAAAATATGACATTGCTTTCTAGGACATGGACAATAAATCAATGCATTGCTGATGATTTGTGGATTGTTCCTTGCATCACAATTCTCTCTGGAATTGATCCCAAGCTTAGTTTTAATAAGACAGTTGATTTATATGAGAAATTCCTGTATTCATCACTCCTTTTTTCTGTCGCACACAAGTCATAGTCACTTTTGTTCCTACTATGGATGTCAATGGCTGCTTTTTTCCATAATATTTCATAATACCTTATTTTGTGTTCAGAACGAAATTCATAAAAGCTTAAAAACACTTCAGCGAGAGCAAATGTTAAGAAAACTTTCATTTTTGGGTGAACTATCAACAGTAGATGGCACTTACTTGTAAATGAACATTCTTGTAAACCCTTTTCTAATTCTATGCTTAAAGGGCCATGAAACCCCCTCGTTTCAGCAGGGTGTTTTCACTCCTCTACTTTGGAAAAAGTCTGAAAAGTGGGCGTGTCCAGCTCTGTTTAGGGGGGAGTGTCGGAGGAAGAAAAGAGGCATGGTGTGGGAGTGTCTATTTGGGCGCGCTGAATTTCAGATACAAAACACACACCCACAGGGGACAAAGTGACTGTTTACATGGACATCTGTAGTCGAATTATTTGCCAAATAATTAAATGGTGGACTTTAACTGCAGTTTGGCTCTTTCATTCAGGGAATTCATTCATGTCCCTCGCGACAAACGAGATATTTGATTCGAGGAACTGCTGTAAGCGTGTATTTTTCATGCAATGTTTGATACCGCACGGCGAATGAGAGAAAAAAAAACCTTGGCATTTCCCGGAAACTTAGATGCACACGGCAGGTAGTGTCAGAAAGCCGTTTGTGTTATTCCGGTCACAAAATGTGGTGAAAATTTTACACGAGGTTAAAGTTTGGTTGTGGTGCTAACATGTTTACACTCGGTGCAATAGTTTGTTCGATACGAATAAACTACGAACTGAATAAACAAAGAGCACTGGTCGCTCACTTACCAAATCTGTAAAGACAGGACAATCACCAGCAACTAGAGCCGCGTCTTTATTTAGAGGAGACTACAAGCGAATCCGGATCTCAGCGTTTGCAGATGAGAACAGCTCTCAGGTAAACAATAATCCTTCTTAGACACGCAAGTTATTGTTGTCGCGCGTTGCGTACACTGTTAATCCACGCGTGACTCCATCTGCGCTCTCAAAGAGAGAAAATGAAAACAAAACTTCACTGCAGCAAACTATAAAAGCAACACTTCACACTTGTTTTGCCAACACAACGTGGCGTCTCTGTCGTCTAAAGACTGTGACAGTAATGAATATTAATGTAGTTGCACAATAGAGCGCGCTGATTGGTTTGAACCAAGCTTTACTCATGCATTAATGCAGAAGGCTGTAAGACGTAATAAGACACACTCTGGCACAGATGTCCAGTCTGCACGCAGGAATACAGGCTATTATCTCATGACCATGACGCAGCTTCATAAATTCGTTTCAAACCGGAAATGCGAATTTGCTTTAAATAACGCAAAAACCAATTTACACCTTTTAGTGAAATATAGGTGTCCTAATAGTGTTTTTAGCAGTGTGGGACACATATACGACTGTTAACAGCTCAAAAAATGTGTTTTGGTGTTTCGTGACCCTTTAAGTAGTATGTGTAAGGAACTGTAAGGCAAGCAGGCATGGGCGGGAATAAGACGCTGAAGGTATTAAATAAATCATTGACTTCTGCTATCTTCATTAGTATCAAAAACACAGATTTCTTTACAACTTGAAAAGATATCTTTGAATATCCTTCTTTGGATATACAGATAGCCACTGCACAGTACGGGTCTATAGCAGGCTTGGATGTTGGTTTATAAGCAACTAGTTCTTTAGATGTTTGCTGAATCGTGGGCTGACCAGTAGCGGGTCCTTTTCTCCTGGAGATACTGTTACCCTGAAAAAACTAAATAAAATAATAGTTACATATACCTTATAAATGGTATAACAAAAAATAATTGTGATTTTAAAACCTTGACTTTTCCAAACTATGTTATCCACCGATTATCATCCCATGCCTAAAAGCAAGGCTGTCAGCGATTTATACAGTGCCATCTGACGGTAAAAACCAAGCTCAGAAATTATTCCAGAGAGAATCCATAATGGTTGTTGAGCCATTCTAGATTCCCAAAGCATAATTTCCCCGACCCTATTGCTTTCAGTCACATTTCCATTCATGCTAACTCTAGCTTTATAGCTTAATTTGGCCATGCATCTGCAATAAGGATATCCTGTTGATCTATTGTCAGATAAGGTGGCAGATTAACACACCGTTCTAGCAGACTCCAACTCCAGCTGTAGTTCCTTGGCTTTGTTTTCCCCCTCAGACTGAACCGCAGCTTTCTGCAGCTCGGCCTCCTCAAGAGCGAGCGACGCCTGCTGTTCTCTTTCCTGTGCCGACTGCAACAATTCCTCCCGACACTGCTCCTGATGTAAACAAGGAACATTAGTGTAAACAGCTTCACAGGGTTCCCATTCTAAGCCAAATGTCACATTTCCATACCTTTCCCTGACTTTCTATTTAACTAAAAAGCTGAAGTTACATCACCTAGGAGCACTATGCTGATAAAAAAAAAAAATTAATCTTTTCTTGTCATCACGTCACATCTGTTTAGGACACTTTGCTAAATCCCGAAACAAAAATTTATTTCAAATAAATTCAAGTTTATTTGTATAGCACTTTACACAATGATGATTGCTTCAAAGCAGCGTTACAAAAGGTGTACAATATTGCATTACAATCAAATATGGAAAAGTTTAGCTTATTAGTTACCATAACTTTATTAGTCGCTAATAACATTAACTAGTAACTAAAAGCTTTCAAAGGTTAAAGTTATTATATATAAACATAGTTAACCTGCAGTTATATAGTATTTAGGCGATGTCATTGTGTACATTTAATAGCATGTATTTGTGTCTTAGGTGTATGTTAGTGAGGAAACAGAGGGGCGCTCAACCGGTGGTCTCCGTTTGAGTCCTAATGCCCCAGTATAGTGAAGTGGACACTATACTGTCAGTCAGCACCCTCTTTCAGATGAGACGTTAAACTGATGACTCTCTGTGGTCATTCAAAATCCCATGGCATGTCTTGTAAAGAGTAGAAGTGTAACCCAAATTCCCTCCATTGGACATTACCCAACATGGCCTCCCAATAATCCCCATCCACTGAACTGGCTTTTTTTAATTCAGTCTACTAATTATGTGACCTTTTTATGTCAATTATGTCACATTGTTATAAAAATAAAAAAATGAAACAAATTTATAGAAAATAATAAATTTTGAAGAACATTTTGGAAAGTAAAATGTCAAACTAATAACAAACATCGATGACATTCCATTACCTGAGAAAGAAAGCATAAACAAACAAGCAAACAAACTAACAATTAAATAAATTAATTAAATTAAATAAATAAATACATTTTCCCTGATTTCAATGTCCGAAATTACCTTTTTAAACCCCTGGCTTCAGCAAAACTTACATTTCAGTAACTCATATTTGCATGAACTGATTACAGGGTACTATAGTAATGAAAATCAGGACGTACCACTGCCAGTTTGATCTGGGCACTCATTTCTTGTTCTTTACGAGCTATAGCCTCTGAGTGTAACCGCTCCATTTCTGTTATCCTGTCCTCGGATGATTTCTGAAATAGATTAAAGCATTGTAAAATATTACAACTTACTTCCTAGTTCATTTAGACCAGAAGTGGGCATCTGCAATCTTTGAGTGCAACTGTTCTTTACAGTTTAGCTTCACTTCTAATCAAACACACCTGACAGTAAATTTCAAGAAATCCTGAAGATATCGGTTATATTTTTTTTTAAATGTTTGATTAGTGATGGAGCTGAGCTCTGTGGGGCATTGAGCCTTCAGGACCAGAGTTGGTTACCCCTGATTCAGACTAAAATACAGTACTGAAACTATGATAGAATAGTTATAACAGAAAAAAACAGCCTGTTTCTGAAGCATAGAGAGAAGGGAGAATTATCACTCTTATGTCAACTTATTAATTTTTGTATTACCATATCAGCCTCATTTGCCACATTAATAGCCAAATTAAGTAACAGTATATAGATTAAAATAAAAAATACAATTAATATTCTTTGAATAAAATTAGTCATATTAGTTGATTAAATGCTGAAAATTGGAGGGATTGAGAGATGGAAAGAGGGATGGATGGATGAAGGGAAAAAATTAAAGATGGATGAATGAATGGAACGGACGGACGGACAGATGGATGGATGGAACTATTGGATGGACAGATGGATGGATGGATTGATGGATGGATGGATGGAACTATTGGATGAATGGATGGATGGATGGATGGATGGCTGGAACTATTGGATGAATGGATGGATGGATGGATGGATAGATGGATGAATGGATGGATGGAACTATTGGATGGATGGATGAATGAATGAATGAATGGATGGATGGATGGATGGATGGATGGATGGATGGATGAATGGATGGATGGATGGAACTATTGGATGGATGGAGCTATTGGATGGACGGATGGATGGAACTATTGGATGGATGGATAGATGGATGGAACTATTGGATGGATGGAACTATTGGATGGATGGAGCTATTGGATGGATGGATGGAACTATTGGATGGAGTGATGGAACTATTAGATGGATGGATGGAACTATTAGATGGATAGATGGATGGATGGATGGATGGATGGATGGATGGATGGAACTATTGGATGGATGGATGGATGGATGGAACTATTGGATGGAGTGATGGAACTATTAGATGGATGGATGGAACT